ATTATTGGGGGGTTGATGAAAATGTTCTAAAATTTACTGTGATGGTTGCATAGCTCTGTAGATACAGTAAAACCATTAAATTGTACATTTTAAATGGGTGAATTGTATATGAGTTTTGTCACAAGCTGGTACCCCCCCCAAAAAAACTTAATTGAACTAATCTTGGTTTTTTTTTGTTGTTCTTGTTTTGTTTTTTTTTTTTGTTGTTGTTGTTGTTGTTTTTTAAAGATTGTATTTATTTGTGTGAGAGAGAGAACAAGAGAGAGCAGGAGCAGGGTGGGGCAGGGAGAGGGAGAAGCAGGGAGCCCCATGCTGAGCTCCACCTCAGGACCCTGGGATCATGGCCTAAGCTGAAGACAGATGCTTAACCAACTGAGGCACCCAGGTGCCCCTCATTTGAACTAATCTTATTGTTGAGAGAGAATATTATAAAATTCTATAGAAATATGGTTAATCATCATTCAGGAGTAGTTCAGTTTAGAAAGATTTGTGGAATATCCACTGTGCGCCTGGCACAGTGCTGGGCTTCAGGACCAGGAAAGCAATACGTTCTCAGGCAACGAGGAGCTGGGATGTTTGAGGGATCAAATGCAGGGTATGAACACTGTGGAAGGTACTGTGGAAGTGGCAAGAGGGAGCTATAGCAATGTCAGGGAAGGCGTTACCACCAGTGTCAAAGGGCAGAGGGGTATTTTAGGCCCAAGGTGCCAAGAAGTATGTGGTGATTTTTTTAGGTACAGAATTGGGTGGGGAGTGGGCCTGGGAGGTGGGCCTGGGAAGAGGGACTGACTTTCCAACTGTTTATCTTCTATCAGAGAAGAGGAAACTTGTGCAAGCAAGTCTCTATATTCTGGAAGTTTTAGTTCACACTTGAAAAACACGGAGCTCTCACTGATGGGCTGTTTGCTATGTGCCCGGAACTGTACTAAGTTCTTTGTCAACGTACTCCTCATACACAACAGAAGGATGTGCTGCTGCTGCCCCATGGGCAGGAGAGAACCCCAAGCCAGTCAGTGAGATGCTCCAATGAGTGGCCAGGCCGGGACCCAGATCCAGAGCCTGCACGCCCTCTAGAGCATTTCAGGCCCGTGTGCTGGTGGGCATCAGTCTGGAAAACCACTGTGCGTGTTCACTTTTTTCCAGCTTCCATTTCAAGATGCTTTTGGTTCTTTGTTATAATGATAAATGTATCTAAAATTCATATCATTTCTAAAACTCATTTTGTTTCACTAAGTGTATCTAAACTTAAGCTGGCACAATTGAACTTACTTCTGTTTCACTGAACAAAAATCACAGGATAAGAAAAACGGAATGGTGATAATCACAGGGATTTATTACTTGAGCTGTTTGTGTTTAGTACTTGTTCAAGTTATATTCTTTTTAGGTTGAGGGAAATACTTCCAAACGTTGGTGATACTGGTCATTCACTGAGACGGTTTCCTATATATTTCTATAAAATATAATACTTGTGTCTCCCAACACCATTTAAAAAGTTTCTGCCTGAAAAGATAAACATCCTTGAGATGGGTTAACTGATACTTGTTTGTTTTCCTTAAAAATAGATGGGGTGTAGGAAATGAGGTGGCTTACTGAGAGCCTTACCTTACAGCCCAAATAGACTTTCAGCAGACCTGCCCTATATTTTTAATGTAGATTTCTATACCTTTAATAGTTCTCAATAAATATTTATTAATAACAATAACTATAAAATGATAGAATGTTTGTCTAACATTGGAGAGAGCGACAGGTTGGCACTTTTTTTTGATTAATTGAAGACCTGTATCAGTATTTAGCTTATCTTCTGACTTTTTAGTAGAACACACCCTTCAGCTAGTGCCCTCAACGCCCAAGTTCTTTAGTGTCCAGAGTAAGCTGGAGCCCCTTTTCCTTGACCGAGAGAAGGGGAGCTCTGCTTTCGCATGCCTGGGCAGAGACTGAGCATCCTGCCACGTAATGCGGGCGACTGGACCCCTGGCTGGTAGTTTCTCAGCACTGTGGTATGTCCTGGCTTTGCCAGCTAGACTGGAAGGATTTGGAGAACAGGAAATAAGCTGCTGGGAGATAAGGCGGGCAGCTATGAATTGTAGACGAGAGAGGAAATGAGAATTCTAATCCAGGGAAACAACACTAGCAGTTTGACTTCATTTTTAAACCAAGAATCATTGGAAAGATTTCTTTCTCTAATTTAGAGAAACCAGCTACACTGGTTAGAACCCACAGCAGAGGTGTGTGGATGGAGTCTGCGTTCCCGTCCCCTGTTGCTCCTACGCGGATCCAGAATTACAAAAAGATGAAACCAAGTTTGTGAACCCTTTATTTATTCAACAACTACTACTGTGTTGTCACAAGGCCAAGAAATCTTTAAATGAAAAATAACCAAAATATTTTTTGCCTTTGCTCTCTTGTGTCTGTGTCGTGCTGTGACTCCGTGGCGGTTTTCATGAAGAAAAGGCTTTTATTACTGATGTTAACTTAACATTTAGCCAAACCTGGCAATGGATGATCAAGGCAGAAAAGCAGAAGTACAGAAAATGTGGCCAACCTTTCTTTTCTAAAATACGACACCTTGTCATCAAATGTTATCTACAGGGAAGGGCAGGGCAAACGAATGGGCTCTGTATTAACTTCAGGAAATAATTTAAAAACTGATCAATTTTGAATATCATGCTCTTAACTTGTCATACTCCATCTTATGGTGGCCATTCTGAAGTATAGTCGTGACCGTGGGCTTCAGCAGTGCCTGTGGGTCTCAAAGGCCCAAATCGGAGCTACACGCGCTCCTGTGTTTTGCAGTGCTTGGGCCAAGTCGTCGTGGGGCTGAGAGAAGTTTATGAAGCTGGCCTTGATTGATTGTTTGGAAATTCCAAACTTCATGACACATTCATTGTCATCTAAAGACTTCTGTTGATGATGATGTTACTTGATTTTTCTTTACTAGATCAGTAATTTATATAGAGAATTTTATTTTTGTTTATTTTTTAAATAGAAAGTTTAAAAAACTGGACTTAAAAAATGAATCTGGGTTTGTTTCCCCCTCCCGCAGTCCACCTGGGTTGAGGCCTCCTCCCGTGTATGTTCACAACTCAGTCCCTGCCTGTATTAGAGCACTATATTGGTCTGTTGAGTGACCTGAACTCCGCGAGTGCAAAGGTGTCTTAATCTCTTCCCTCAGCACCTACAGACCGTCGTAGGAAGGCAGGCAGGCGCTGTTGGCTGTCATTAAAATGCCTTTGGGCATTGAAAATCACCTTCTGGATGTCGTTGTCAATAACCTTTTACAGTTCAAAGATATAATTGAATAAGGATCATGACTTCTAATTATGTATTACTCTTTGGCCCAGCACACTCAGAATTACTGTGTGTCAGTATTCAAAGATGAGCCGGCCTCTGTCCCTTTCCTCGGACGCCCAGCTCAGCGGGGAGGCGAGCGTGTAAACCAGTGGTCAGGGAGGATGGTGGACATGCCGCGCTTGCAGAGCTGTACCAGAGGGAGGTGGTGGGTCCAGTGGGGAGAGAGCGGGATGCGGCTGCCGAGGGCGTGGTTGGCGTCTGCGACCGTGCAAGCTGGCTTTGGCAGGGAAGCCATCAACTAGGTGAGATTTGTCTTGTGATTGCCAGGTCTCAAAGGATTGCAGTCTCACAGCTGTTTTTTATTTTTTTTTGCAGAGTTTTAAAAAAGAGCTGCAGTGTCCTTACGTTTTAAGGGGGTAATAATTTCCTCTTGCATTTTTTTATGCATCTTGTAACCAGTGCTGATGCCACCAAGTGTGGCAAACCAAGGCTGGGGGCCTCTACAGCTCTCCGGTCCCTGAAAACCAACTGAAAGACCTAAAATCAGGTGTGCCCTTGGCACAGGTTTGAGAAGCGACAGGACTTGCGTGTGAGTCTGGTTTGGACGCAGTGGGGGATGGGGTGTTGAGGAAGGGTCAGGCCATTGCAGAGGTCCTTGGCGGCCTGTCCTTGGCCTTACTTGTTTGCTGTTTTACAATTGGAGATCATTTAGACTGGTGCTGCCTGTTCCTCAGGGTCATGAAGTGAGGTCCTGGGGGGAGATGGGGTTCAGATCTTTCTTATGAGCAGCGGCTGTGCTCGGGCTGGTTAACGACAGTGCTCGTGTGACTGACACACATTCGTGTATGTCTGTGCATCTGTGGATGTCCTGACTCTCAGATGGACTTTTACCTCCGTGTGTGGGGCCGGGTGCTCTCCGTCGGGGCATTGGTCACGTAGCGTCACACAGTGTGAACCTAGTAAGTGCAGACCAGACGTCTGACTGAACGAATGGGTACCTCACGATCACCAGCATGGGCCAGTTGGATGACACCCGGGAAACGTTCCCCACAGTGAAGGCAGGGTATTGTTTTGTGGTTCGTGGGCTCCGGGGCCCACCTCATAGCCATGTGTACTGACGGGTTTTACTGGGCCCTGTGAGCCCTGCCCTCAGACTCCTTGGGCATTTCTGTGATCGCACAGACCACCCACCAGAGAGGCCACCTTTGGGATGAAGGAGTGATAGTTGAGAAAGATGAGAGTGATTTGTCCAGGATCAGAATTTTTCAAGTTAAAAAATTAAGTTGTTATAACTCACAGATTTTGAAGCTTATAATTTCTTTGTCTTTCCTCTCTGGTAAGTATGAAGTACTTAGACATACCAACTGTATTTTTTTCTAAGTTGTTTCGATTCTGAACTGTTCTTGCACTTGTCAGAGGCAGGGCTTCCTCTCTGATTTTTGGCAATAGGTATTTTTGTGCCACAGCTTATTGTTTGCCCAGGTGTCTGCCATTTGTCAGGAAGCCTTGTCATGGGCGTCTAGTTCCCGTCTAGATTCTGCCACGTGTGGCTGTGCCCTGTCCCCCTGCTGATCCCCACACCTGCCCTCAGCCATTCATTCCCTTTGACGATGCCTTCTCTTCAGTTCTGAAGTCTCCTCTCTTCAGATACATGCTCCTGGCCCACCGCTTCATACCCCGTGGTAAATACCTTCTTGGTTATTTTCTAGGTTGTGCTGGTGAGATGGAATGAGCCATACCAGAAGCTGGCCACGTGTGACGCAGATGGAGGGATATTTGTGTGGATTCAGTATGAAGGGAGGTGGTCTGTGGAATTGGTCAACGATCGAGGGGCTCAGGTGAGTGGGCAGGAGTCTCTTCCAGTGAGACATTGCTGGAGAGAGAATGCAGAGCACGTGTTCCAGGGCAAATGGGAGCTCCTTCCAGAAATAGGTGGAGTAGAAGTAAATAAAAGTTAATAGTAGAATCCTGCTTTTCATTCCACTCGAGTGTATCACTTGATAAAAAGAGAACGATCATTCTTCTCTATTCAACTATTCTGCTGTTGTGAGAACTCTCCAAGTTTTAAGCTTTAATTAAATCTGTGAAATCATTTTTTACCATTCATTGTTGTGATTACATGTTAATTTTGGATCCTCTGAAGTGCTTATGGCATATCACTTTCCTGCTCCCTTTGAAAGGTACTTTCCCTGTGTTGTAATCTTCATAGTTCTCTCGCAGGGAGCTCCACACGAGCTGTTCTCACAACCTCCTCGTCAAGCTGAGTTTTTAACACTCTCTTCTGTCAGGTTTCAATTAGCGTGGCCACCTGTTGTCACCCCTCAGCTCTTCCTTTCTGATACAAATTTGTCTCTGCTCTGAGGAAAACAGGCGCTCTAGGGACTCCCTGCTGAGCGATGCTATTTTTAAACCTGCTCCAGAGATTCTTCTGGTTTCTGGTACAGATCTGGCTCTTCCCTCTTCCCCCTGTGAGGATGGGCCGTATGGAGCTCCATGTCTTGTCTTGTGTTCTTAGGGACACAGGTCCCATCCCCGGGATTTGACAGAACTCTGGCTTCAGAACCCAGTCCTCATGGAACCTTTCTCCATGAGGGCTGTCTTAGACTGTTTTCCCGATCCGGGGATGGTTTCCCTAGGACTGCCTTTCTTTACATTTCTCAGGAAGTGGATTCTCACCCTCTTTTCTCCCATCTGTTGCTTAAATAAGCTACGAGTTCCCCAAGTTTAAAGATACGACCAGTGAAGTGACGCAAAATTGCAAGGAACAAAGATCCATTAGCAGTTGCTAATGTTGTAACAATGTAAGTTATCATCACGGAAGACAAATCTACCCTTAGGTAAAAGAGAACATTCTTTTTTGAGTGAATTCATGTATTTGGTAGAGTAAATGTGACCATTTTGACTGACTCTGAAAAGGCTGCACCAGTCTCCTGTGTACCTCCATGGAGGCAAAAAAGGAAGACGTAGAACCTGCCCTGTGACTGCTAACCAGCCACCTTGAAATAGAGCCACAGATGTGGAAATCTCTGTGGCCATGAGAAGTTCATGCCGCCCAGACAGTAGACATTGTGGCTAAGGACGTGGGCTCTGGAGTCAGACCACAAGACCAAGAGTCTCACTCCATGATTTCTCAGTAGGGGATACTTCTTGGTGCCTCAGTCTTCTCATCTGTAGCAGAGGGACTCTAATGCTACCTGCCTCAGAGAATCGCTAGAAGGATTAAGTAAGATGAAATGTAGAAAGTACTTTGGACACTGTACATGACAGTTGTCACTCCTTACTGCTCTAGTGCCTATAGTATTAGGAGGCACTGCGACCTCGTGTCCCTGACCACAGAAGGTACCTGCCCTTAAATAGCAGCCAAAATGTCGGGGGCGCCTGGGTGGCTCAGTTGGTTGAGCCTCTGACTCTTGGTTTTGGCTCAGGTCATGATCTTGGGGTCGGGAAGCTGGGTCACGCATCGGGCTCTGTGCTCATGGGGAGTCTGCTTGAGATTCTCTCCCTCTGCTCCTCCCCCAACTCGAACGTGCATGCGCGCGCTCTCTCAAATAGATAGATAAATAAATAAAATCTTGAAAAAAAATAGTAGTCATACTGTCATCACCACGACTCTCTTCAGGCCTTGAGGCGCAGCACTTTGTGGCTTTCAGTGAAGAGGAGACGTCTCTGAGTTCATGTGTAAGGGTCTCTAAAACACTCTCATTCCCCCATCCACCAGAGCGTGAACTCTTTTCCTTAGGTCCAGTGGTCGAGTCTGATGTGCCTTCAGACTTCGGACAGCTAAAGGTCTCTAACTCATTGCTCTGAGAAAGGCCACAAAGAGGAGCTAGGACAGACTCCGACTAAGTGCTCGTTGTTTTCACGTGTTGTCTCTCGGTCTCCACAGGACCCCTCCTGGGCAGATGCCATTTTCAGTTAATGGAAGGAACAAACCCTGGTCAGGGAGGTTGAGTAAGCTGCCTGGGGAACTTCATGGGTGGTAAAGCAGAATCTGAGGCCAGGTCTGAGTCCAGAATACTCTGTCACACTGTCTTCCTCCCAGGCAAGACGCTTTTTTCTCTTTTAGCAGAAATGCATGTATTCACAGTATCCAAAAGAGCTCAGACTTCACTACCGTCGAGAGTCCAGCCCCTCCGCCAAGCATTGCTGGTGCCATACTGTTTTCTCCTGGTGGCAGCCTCTCGGAGGATGGGACCTTCTGTCATCCCCATAGAGCAGCTGTGTGGTTTCCACTACCACCACATCCCTCAGCTTTTCTTTTCATTGAGAATCTGGCACAAAAAAAGTGTTTCAGAAATGAGAAAGGGAGGATGAATTCAGAGCTGGAGGTGAATGAACTTACACGGACCGTAGAGGAGCCGGAAGCCCCCGGACTCTCACAGATGCCTGTCCCTGCCATGCCCAGAGAGTACCCGCTGCATCTGTGACCTGATCCGGATTTTTATAGAATTTTTCTTGTTTGGAATCCTGATTCTGCAAACCTCGAAACCCACTGAGCAGTTGTCAGCAGTGAACGCTTCTTTCCCGGGAAGGTTTGGTTGCTTTAAATTGTGTTGGCATCAGAACTTACCTGAGTAAAGAAACATTGCGCCCTGGGGCTGATGACTCACTGGTTGAAGAAACAGTGGCTGTCTGTGCCCCTGAAACGGCACCTGCTGGGAGGAAGGACAGTTCTGTGCTTGGAGGAAAAGGATCCTTGAAATCTGCTCAGAGGAAAATAATTCATTTTAGAGGAAGTGACAGGGGATCCGTGTTCCACAGCGTGACTTGCACTGTCCCGAAGGAATCAAACACTTGGCCAAAGCTAAATGATGCCTTAACGGTTTCTTTTTCGGGAAACGATTATGAGTCCTTTATTTCAGCAGCAGGTCTGGAGCAGTGCATGCGTTATTGTGTAGGATTAGTCACCAAGGATGGCTGTGGCCCGCATAGGCATGGGCCATTGTGATGAAAGCTGCCTCAGGCCGAGGTCTGACAAGGCTCACGCTCAGACACAGCTAATCCACCTCAGACGCCATGCTCAGTGGGCAGCCAGAAGGAGGGTGGGCTTCCTGCTTAATTTCTTCACAGCACTGGGTATCAGTTCCCTTCTTCTTGTTTTTCCATTCATGGTATATTCCTGTCACTCTATGCTGACCTAATTTAGTAAACCCAGTGAGTTCATGGAGACATCCTTTCTTATCATTTTCTCCGACTGCATGACTGGTGGAGTCTTGGGGAAGCTTCTTTTCACTGGCCATCCCCTTTCACCCCCTAGTAGGATGTTTTTCTTTTTAGTACAAATCTCTACCAAGGTATATGAGTTAGAATCCATGTAAATAAGTAGCATTGCTTTTGCAAAACAAAAAGCCTTTAAATTTTATTGCAGTACTAATGTGTTATCTCTAAAAAATGTTTTTATTTTTCATAAGAAAAACTAAATAGTGTGGTTAGCTAAAACATAGGATCAGTGAAACCAAGGTTTTGAGTTTACCCTACTAAGGAAACAACTTTTTTCAGTAACCTCACACCAGCTGTTGAAGGGCTGTCTCACAAACCCATCCATTATCACAGTGTGGACACCCTCACCACTGTAACCTGTAACCCCTGCTGAGAAAACAGCAAGTGTTCATGTCCTTTTGGTGTCCATTTAGTGTATTTTATCTGAAATGTGATATATCCGGTAATGTCACCAATTTTAAAGGAAGTTATACATTTCTAAGGAACAGTTTTATGAATGAAAGGTAGGCATAACTATAGAGATTACCAGGTAATCAAAGGCAATTAAAAGGTAATTCAGTAGGGGAAACAATAGTCTTTATTTTTTATTTTTTCCCTTGAGATGTAATTGACATATAACATTATATTAGTTTCAGGTATACAGTATAACGATTTGATATTTGTACATACAGTTGACCCTTGAACAACTGCGGTTTGAACGGCATAGGTCCAGTTACATGTAGGTTTTTTCCAACAAATACGGTACAGATTGGGGGGAGGGGGTCAAGCTAAGATGGTGGCGTAGGAGGAGGACCCTAGGCTTGCCTCGTCCCTCGAACACAGCTAAATAATTATCAATCAAATAATTCTGAATACCCAAGAAATCAACCTGATTGCTGACAGAACAAACTGTACAGCTAGAGGGAGAAAAGAGGCCATACCAAGGATGGCAGGGAGTATAGAGATGTGGTTTTCAGGAGAAACCGATTGCAGGTCCTATGGAAGGGAGGGAGCCCTGGTCGCAAAGAAAGGTGGGAGAGAGAAGAGTGCGTGGGATCATGCAAGGAGAACACTTCCCCAAAGCCATTGGTTGGGAAAATGAGAGAGGCTGATTTTCATGATTTTTAGCAACCAGTGGGGCTCAAAGACTGGAGTTTTAGAGGTCTTGGCATGGCTGGGATAGAGCCTTGAGAGGGCTGCCCTACTCCTGGAGAGAAGGCAGACAGGGAACATGAGGCAGATGGCAGAATCTGAGGCTGAACTAAGACACACAGGGAGAGACTGTTCCTCTTTCTTACAGCACCTCTGTGAGAGGTGGCATTGCCTCTCTGGGGACAGAAGAGCTGGTGGTTGCCATTTCCATCCCCTGCCCCTCAGCATAAGCTCAGAGACACCTGCTAAAGGAGGCTAATGTGGACACTGGCTCTTTAGCCTGCCTTGCTCCAGATCCCGTGCCCCTGTGCTCTGGCGTGACACCCTTTCTGGGTCAAACTTGGATCATCCCAGCACAGTGAGACCCTCTACCAGAAGACCAGTGCGGGTCCCCATCACATCAGGTCCCTAAAGTTTGGAGTTTTGAAAGTCAGCCAGCTTGGCTGGGATAGCGCCCAAAGCGCACTGCGCTGCTCCAGGCAGACAA